AGCAGAGCTCCAGGCTCAGTGCAAACTGCTCACAGATGATCTCAGCACGCTGATGTTTCAGGTGACGCGCCGACTCTGCTGAACCCCGGTGCAGACAAAGAGCCGCAGATCCACAGACACGAAGCCTCTTTGTGGCCGAGCGCACACGGGCGCGGCGGCTCTGCGAGCACAAACAGAAGTGCTGGGAAATCAAGTCTCGCACACAGAGCGCCGGCCCCGGAGATTAACCGGCTCATCGGTGTTTGTCTGCACGGCGAGGCCCGCTCAGGTCCTGAAACAGCGACGCGCACAGTTTTGGAAACAACAGCTGAGCGAACCATCACTGATGCATCACACACTTTAAAACAGGCACCAGCGCCGTCCTGCACTTTTTAAATCGACAGATGTTCATATTTTATGTAGAAATGTGTCAAATGTCATTTTTGGTGAAAAGATAAACTCACCCTTCACTTCACCCCGGGCCTGTTCAGGTTCTGCTCCTGGATCCAGGACCTGCAGCAGGTCGGTACCCAGAGAACCCAACAGGGACCGGATTTGAGAGTCTTCCAGTTTAAAATGACATCTAACCATGAAGGGCTCACTATAGTGGTTCCTGACTGTTTATTTCATGCACCCACTGAAACTATTAGAATTTAAAAATACGTCATGTAAAATGGTGATTTGGTGCTTTATAAATATTTCAAATAGGACAAAATGCTGATTTTACAGCAGCAACATTGTATCTCTGAAGTTTAAACATTTAAGAAACTTTGTGTCTGCACAGAGTAGATCAAACAAATTGAATCATCATAAATACTTTATTTTATATTGATTACTTTATTCTCATTACTTTATTATTATAGCACCAGGAATACATGATAAGGGGAGTATAAACTTGTGGCTGTAGTATAAACAGTATTCTGGAGAAGGTACAAACTGTCACTGTGCGTGTAGATTTTTAAAAATGATTACTGATGATATAACTTTGTGCTGTAAGGACATGAGGAGGAAACAGCAGCTGTGTGAGGCTGGATTAAAAAGAGGTCTCAGGTTGTTGCATTAAGGTGTTCAAGGATAAAAACAACACAGCTGCAATGTTCTATAACATTTTTCTCTTATAACTTTATTTTGGATTAGGTGCACGAGTTATTAAATAATACTTTAACGCAATAGTAAACTGTGCCTTGTTCTCAGACGTGGAGAGATGAGCTGAGGAGACGAAGGAGGAAGAGTCTTTATAATCACAGAGCACAGAGAAAAGTACTAAACTGAATCAATTTCAGCTTTCGTTTCTCATGA